AATGTTCACGTTTGTTATTCACAAATAAATCAGAGGAACTCTGGAAAATGTGCATTACTGTCTTAGACCTGATAAAATGCTCCACTTTGACTTTATCTTGTGATATACAAGATAAAGTCAAAGTGGAGCATCTTACAGTTTATTTATTTCTACAAGTATTAGTGAATATATGGAACGGAGACTTATTAAATTTTTATTAACTTCCAGTTCATTTGATCCAGTTTCGTTTTTATAAAGGCTTGGGTTTAGTTTGATTGTTAGTTCCTTTGTTAATTTTTGTGTTATAATGTGTTTTGGTGTCCGTGAAGGGGAAAATGTGAAAAAATAGATGCATGATTACAAATGTTGACAACACAATCTCAGTAAATAACCCTATTTCTCACAAATTTGACCAACCTGTTGAAAATTTGAAGACATTTTATGTATATTTTCATATTTAAGGGAAACTAAAATGTATTTTCACATCTAGTTTCAGTTTACTGTGACATGGATACATGTACACTTCACAAATAGTTTCTGAAGTTAAGGTTTCCTCTGTGTTTCAGGCAGTAAAACTGAACCGAAGGTCACCATACAAAACATAAAAGATAAATAGTAAAAAGGATTTCAAACTAAATAGAATTAGACAAGTAGTAAAGAGAATAAAAGAACAACATTAGAAAACAATTGGAGTCAATTTTTAAAGAGAGGAAGCGAGTTTAAAAAGATGGCTTTTAAATTTTGGATTGAACACGGGAAGAGAGCGAGTATTCCTGATATCAGGAGGGAGCAGAGCGGCTGAAAGCTCTGTTCCTCATAGTGGTGAGTGGTGTACAGAGGAAAGAAGTAGAAAGTACAATATCAGTTTTAAAGTTCAAAAAAGAATTTAGAGGTAGAGAGAATAAAACCTGACTGCTTTATAAATTTGGAGTTTAAGCAATTTGAACACATCTTTAAAACTTTTTTCTCTCAAAAGAGTGTGCTGTTAAAGAAAAATATAGACCAGCAAGTAATAAATGCACAGAAACTATGGTTTTATTGCCTTGACACCACAGACTGCCTAGCACAGAATTCTAGACTCATAAATAAGGAGTCTCTGTAACGCCCCACTCTCTCTCATGCAACTTTTTATATTACTTTTTTTTTTTAACAAACAACTGTATACAATAATTTGTAGTGGTCTTTAAAGGAGCTAAAAATGGACCATATATATACAAAATTCAATAAAAAATATATGATATGTCCATAAATCTGCCCAGTTTTCATCTGTTATTTTTCAACATGTTATAGTGTACATTTATTTTTGGGTTAGATGAGTTTCACTTTGAGTATCAAACTTAAGAGCGATTTATTTATTTATGTATTTATTTTAGTATTCAGAGAGTCTTATGTCTAAACTGGTTAATTGTTAAACTTGCTTGTCCTGAAGCTGACACCTTTTCAAACCACATCAGTTCATATGTAAGATTTATCTTTTATGTGTCTCATGGCTTTTTCATATACAACAGTGCATAAACTGTCTGTGTTTCTGTGTGTAATGCATTCATTGTAGGATTATAACACAGGAATTCGTATAGACAAATCTTTTTCAACTTTAACAAATAAGAGCAGATATGTTCAGATTGTTACATAATTTTCCCTTTCCTTTATAACTTATTTATTAACATAAGGGCATACAACATATAGTTTGTAATCCAAAACTTCCTCTGTGCATTAACAAAT